AAACACAAGGGACGCGAGTTTGTCGAAGGGTCCTCCCTCAAAAAATTTCGAAATCTATTCTCCATAATTATCTCATATTTAAACAAAATAAAATATCATCCCAGTAAAAAAAGGGGATTCAGCTACACTGTCCTTGCAAGTGGCATCTTCACGGAAGCATGGCGATATTGTGCTCATTTCACTGCATTTTCGTGTGTCAGTGCAGATTTCTAACCATTTCCCGTGATCTTATACAGGTTTGAAGGGCTGATTGACAGAGAATGGCTGCGTGGTGGCCATCCATTCGCGGAGCGGTGCGTCAAAGTAGGTTTGTCTACAAGTAGGTACAAGGGACAAGGCCCAGTTTTTCTCCTCTTCTTGGACTGTGTTTGGCAGGTTAGAGTGATATTATTATAATACAATATAATTATAGTGGCTGTTGGGTAACACGCAACATTCAGTTGAAAATGGCTGTTTAATGCCAGGAGGATAAGATGATTATCTAACACAAATGTGTTGTTTTCTTTACTTGTAGATTTACCAGCAGTTTCCATGTTCTTTTGAATTCAATGATCGCTTTCTCATCGCACTTTTTGAACATGCATATTCCTCACAATTCGGTAAGTAACCTTCCTTGAAAGATAAAGCCGAGTGAAAACTTTCCTTGTACTGAAATATGATATAGTTTCTTATTTTGATACTCAACAATGTTTTTGTCGTCAAAGGTACGTTTTTATGCAATAACGAAGGGGAGAGACAAGCAGCAAAGCTAAAATCCAAGACTATTTCTTTATGGTAAGCTACAAATGTGTTTTTTTGTTTTTTTGTTTTTTTTATTTTTTTTAACTAAGTATTTGCCTTGCTTTCCTCGTCTAACTGTTCAAGGTAATGCCCCTTCCTTTTCCTGAACAACGTGGCAAGAACATCATTGACACACTCGGCTTGGCCTTGTATGACACTTTTTTCTTCTCACCATATTTCGACGTCATCTGCGATCTATTACTGAACAGGCGTAGGGCATCATGGAATATATTTGTTGAACTGGTTTCGAGTTGTCAATAATTATCCACATCTTCCTTCTTTCCTTTGCACAGGTCGTATCTGAACCAAGCAGATATCCTGAAGCCTCTGTTAAATCCTATGTACGAACCCAACAACTCTGTTCTGTGGCCTTCTGTAGCGTCTCAAAGTCTTGTAAGTCCACAGATCTTACTGAAAGTTAATACATTGAAGGGAAAGAATGTTTGTGAAACTATAGAATATTAATCTTTGCCTTTAAAAAGCATTGATGAAAATTTGCTCTTTAAGGCGTTTTCAGATGTAAAAGAGTATAATAGCATTTAGAATTTTGTTTTCAATTTTACTAAAATCCGACCCTAGAGGCCGCCATTTTAATAATAATTTAAAAAAAAATTGGCAAGGTCGTTCACATTTTCAATCCTTTTTCTACAGGTCCTGTGGCCAGGTTTATTTTTAAAGTGGAGAGAATCTAACAAGAATGAAGATATCTTATGGGAAGAAGTACGAAGAATACAAGCAATAAATATGGACCTGAAAAGCAAGGCTATATCGCTAAGAAGGTAACATAGAAATGATGACGTAGAGTAATGTCCACCCAATGACTACATAAGTTTTACTTTTCTTCGCTTTGTGATTGGTCTAGAAAACTCGCATCAATTTTTCAACCAATCAGGTGCAAAACTAAACCTTAACGCCGTGTGCACGCTCTCCTTTTCCCGCTCTTTTGGCAGTTCACCTGCTTTACTCTGATTTCTCATTGACCCTTCGATATATTCTCCTTTGTTCCGATTGCTCACCACGATTACTTTGTTTGTAGTGCTAAGACACTTGTGGAAAAGCGCTTGAAACATGATGGAAATATTGTTCAAAACCAAAATCGTGCGCACTGATTTCTCAATTTGGTTTTTGCAGCATAGGATTAGAAAAGGTTACCGTGATAACTCCGTTCCAGTAAGTGTTTCCTCTATTTTCATTTCTAATTTTTGTTTTACTCCAGAGAATATGCCGAACTTCAAGCTAAAGTACTGGAAGAGAGAAGAAAATGGCAAGAAGAGCGAGATAAAAGAGAAGACCAAGGCTTGTAAGGAGAGAACTGTGGTCAAACTGATGTTGCGCGCCTTCAGTTAGAAATGTGAAAGACGAATAGATAAGTACTGCGATCTTCGCTGGCATTAGAAGAGATATACAAATTTACCTTTTCTCTCCAAGGCGTTTCCAAAGAATAGTTTCTCCGAACAATATTAATGTACTATCAAGAAGACAGGTGATGAGATTGAAGAAAATATAATCAAGGGTAAACATTTTGATTTAACAACCAATTCTCGTGACTAACATTTTGAAACTTTGCAGGGGGGACTGCGGGAATTACTACAGTTCAGGTAATGGGAGGGAAAGTGGTAACAAAGATCGAAATGAAACCATGTCAGCGGTAAAGAGTTGAAATAGACCAGAGGTAGATCAGAGGATCAGTTCTCCACGTTGGTACTCAAGTTATACTGAGACCGGCTGCCATCAGCAACAACAACAACAACAACAAAACTTTCTCTTCGTGTTCTCTACATTTTACAAATTATAGGAAATTTTACACGTAATGAAAACCAAAAAAACAGTAATAGTTAAAATGGTAAAAAAATTATCACAGATCAAATATTGTTAACGGAGAGGGCATAGCCATTTGGAAATAGCGAATGTTAGTATATACTAAAACCGAGTATAGCGTTCTGGTTGGCTACTAGAATTCCTTACATCCCTTGATGGTCACCTCCATGCAACTCGTATGAGATTTGCGCCCGAAAATATTTTTATCGTTTCAGGAATAAATTAGTTCAAATCATCTCTTTGAGCGATATTATCTCAATGTGTTATTATATATTAAGACAACCACTCACCTCGGAGTGGGTGACAAGTGGTGGATATTTAATTCGCGGCTCCGCGGCTCGATGAACATTTACTACTAGCCACCGACACTGAGGTAAATAGCGGTTAATTATTTAGACGAGGTGACTAGGCCATGCATCTGTATATTTAAAAAAATGCGGGAGAAATTGGACATGCGCCTAGTCAAGTGTTCGAGCACAAGGACTGTGCATTCATTGTAGTATTACTACTTAAAAACTAGATGAGAGCTCCAAATTTCTGTGGTGTGATAGTGAGGGTGAGGCTGATTCAACTATCGTGAATAAAAAATTGAGAGCGAATAAACGAATTGATCTGTAAAAATCAATAAGTTTTTCAAAACTTGATAACAATATAGTCTCGTCGTTTTTAAAATTATTTTTTAACAACTACATGACTTCCGATAAACTTCTGTTCTATTAACTGACTCCTTTTTCCTTTTTTTATTCTTTTAAATCCATTAAATGTTCGATACAATTCTTATTCCAAGGTTTTTCGGCGATATGTTCGCCATTTTTTTTCGCAAAGTGAGAAGCTTCTCGATCAACTATAATACATTGGGAATGACATTTTTGAGGTGGACAAAAACACTCTGTTCAATAAGTCTTCGAGCAGGAATGAAACTTGAAGTGAAATATTACTCCATTAAATAAATATACTTTCATTAATACAATTTCCAATATTCCAATTAAGATAATTCTAGAAACGCCCTGTCGATGATTTAATTAGCAATGCATAACAAGAAAAATAGACACAGTATGTAAAATGATATTTTTTGCCTGTACCGGAGTTTCGTGAAATTTTCATGGCTGCCGCAATTTGACGTCGGGTTACATCAAAGTAATTATACAATCGTGCCACTGTCGAAAGCGTTAGATTCGTTCACCTAGCTGCATTCGTTCAAACAGAATCGAATTAAAATCCAGCGGCTTAAGGATGTCCTCGTACAACAGTGCCAGTTCCTCATCACTGAGTTTTTTAGCATTCTCGGTGAGGCGTGAGTCGCCTTGTAGTAAAGCAGGATCAACAGAAGGACACGGTGCACTTTGGACTCGCAATCGAGGCTCTATTTTCTTGGGTCTTTCAGCAGATGGATCGCTCCCTCTACGCAAAGCTTTTACTTCCTGAGGCGGCTCTCGAGCGATTGTTGTGAATGACCTTGGTTTTCGCAGCTGATGGTCTGTTATCGTCTCCGCTGGCTTTGTGGTACAAAATGGACCCTTGTTTTGTACATCTTGTTTTTCTAATTCCTGTAGGACTGACGACAAGCTCGGATAATTATCGATGTCGATTATTACACTCATAATGTAGTTTGAATTCCCCTTTAAAATCTCGGCTCTCGTTATGTCCAGATAATAGTCACCTTGAAATGATTTGAAATATAAGCTGGTTAGACCTCCGTGTTCCTTTCGGATGATCATGGACTGGTTTCTCCTTACGTTAGTCTTTCACGTAGCTTACCATTACCACAAAAGGCAGAGCCATTTAATATTTGGTTTCAAACTCTCTTACGTCATTAGAATGGCGTTCTTTCTCAGAAGATGACGCTTTTGGGCGGCAGTGGCTATTTTTAGCAATAGGAATTCCTTGTTTTATTATTAATATTCCGCTGCAAAACTGCTCCGGACAGTTCGTTTTTTTTTTGTTTTTTTGTTTTTTTTATATCATTATTTTTGTTGCTTTTCAACACATGTAAAACCTTAAATTAATTTCTATGATTCTATGAGCGAAAGACCAGAAGAAAAAAGAGCGTGCGCGAAAAATGGGCGCGGGTCAGCCAAAGGAAAACTTGGAGATGGAGGACAGCTTATTGTCACCCAGCCGTTTGCCACTTATTTCTTGGTTCGATCGGTTTTCCATTGATTGAGAGCCTGAAAAAAAGTAGACTAAGGCCAAGGGCAGAGGGGCAGAGGGGCAGAGGGCCTAACCAGCGTTTTGAAGCAACATGGCTTTTGCATATTTACGCACACACGCTTGTGAGATTACTTATCATATATTGTTCGTGTATTACGCAATGAGACAGTTAACAGGTCTCGCAGTGCACGTCAGGAACTATTAGGAAATAACTATTACGAAATATCACACCTCAACTTAGTAGGAAGCAAGTCACCATGACATCACTGGAGCAGGATATGCTGAAACCCCAGATGTCAGGAAGAGAGGATAGGACTGACGCGAGAAAAACGGTGTGGTTTAGCCCATTTATGTAGCAGTCTCTTCCTTTCCCATTACGGTATAACGCTATCGACACTGAGCAGCGACAACATCATAACTTTTTTTGACGAGAGCTTTTTGTCATTTTCAGAACAAGAGCAATCCTCGATGTGATCTGAGTTACTAAGAACTGAACAGAGAGATTCTAACAACTAAATGTGTTGAATTGTTCTTTTATCTTAACAATAATCCCCAAAGGTTGAAAAAATTTTGGGGAATAACTTTTAGATATTTTAACCTAGTGTTTCTATTGAAACTGGCAAGACAAGAGCCGGTAGATGGGACGTCATGCGCATGTTTCACCGACATCAAATGATAGCGAATCACGAAAAATCGGAAATCCGACTGTAAGGTTCGTGTACCGCGGAAAGCAAAAAAATTCTCAGTTCACGGGGTTTTAATTTCGTATTTCTGTTGGTCACGAAAATCCCGTATCACGCAATAACCCTCAGAGCCAAAGGTTTTGTAACGAGAGGGCCTAGGGCGGGACTTCTATGTCACGCAACAATCACGCAACATACTGTGGGCAGGAGGGCTGGACAGTTACTGTAGGTGTTCATGGAAGAAGCTTGCAAATGAAAGGGGGAATTATCGGCGAAATCGTATCATCATGACTTCGGTAACATTGACTAATCGGTAAGATTTTTAGCTTATTTTTTTAAAAGTGTTAATGGGCATTTCAAAGTTTCCTGTTAAGTGTAATTTCGCTGAAGATGACCAACGAGACTTTCCATTCTTATGCTGTCCATCCGAAGAAGTCCTGCTTCGATTAAACACTAGTGATCCTTGATAGCGGTCTTCAAAATGAATGACACAGACGCCAACCCAACCCTAGTTGAGCCCTTTCTTTGCTAACTTTAAAGGAAATCGTAATGTGATTAAGTCAATATCACTGTTCTTGTTTGTATTGGTATTGTTTAGTGACTAATTTTTTAAAAAAATTTTGTGTTAGTCTTGATTATTTGCTCTGGGCGTGATTGCTAATTGGGACAGAGTTGGCCATAGGGGTGGCGTAGAGGGCAGAACTGGAGTTGTTCCTCCTAGATTGGGGTTGTTGACAAAATTATGTACAGGGATGCATTACATTTGAAAACCACTGTGGGCTATTGGGATCACCTGCAAAATGATAGTTACCAAATAGCAATGTATGCTTTAGTTGAGATCATTCAGAAAATGGTTTGAACGTAATTTGGTATTATCAACTGAGTTGATAACATTAATTGGCCACCAGTAAGAGTTTCAAAGCTGATGTTTTGAGCATTAGCTCTTTGTCATTTGCTCTGATGAAGGGCTAACAGTGTTCAAGACATAAGCTTTGAAACTCTTAACGGTGGCCGATTCATGTTATCGACTTAGTTGATAATACCAATGTTATTATCTTGTTATACTCTCCCACCAACACAGCGGCACAGTTTCTTTAGAAACTTCCCCCTTTTATTAGTTTGAATGTCTTTGATGCAAGGACACAGTGAGTGAAAAATCTTTCCAATAAGTCTCTGAGGCCAGTTACTGCCCACCTTGTGAGAAGTGAAAGTTTTTGTTAGGAACTGTCTCTGTGATCAGTTGCAAATATTGAAACTGGTTGGAAAGCTGCCTCTGATCACTATAAAAAAATTTGTTGTGGTGGCAAAGTTTTAATGACAATTGTCCTCCCACACGAGGTAAAGTTTTTCATTCTGCAACTTGTTTTAGAGCAGTAAGACTTGGCTCTGCATGTTTAGTGTAGTGTGTCAGGACCTGTCATCTTTTGAATGACTTTTCATGTCTCATTTTCTCAGGGAACTGAAGAACAAAGCAACTGGTGTTGATATTCTGGTGCCTCAGTACGAACATATCCCAGGACCATTTGGAGGATCAGTTGATTATCACATAATTGTGGTCACACAGTTGTTTTACTTCAAAACACCCACAAAACACAAGGAGTCTGATATTGTGCAGTTTATGGTAAGTGCAAAAAATTACTTAACTCTTTTACACCCTAATACCAGTATGCATATTCTCCATACTGTTCTCTATACATTTCCTGAGGTGCTGACAAGGAGAATTTGTTGAATCATCAAGAGCTTCCTTATATGGTGATCATTTCCTTTATTCTCATGACCTTACCCTCAGGGTTAATATTATAAGGAGAAATTAGATGCTAGTTACTCTTAGAGGTCAAAGGTTGAATAAGAAATTTTCATCAAATGTAAGTTATGTTCTTCTTCTCCTAACTTAAACCCTTAACCCTTGGTTTAAAGTCAATCGCTCTGACGAAGGGCTAACGCTTGAAATGTCAGCTCTTTTACTCTTTACGGAGGCCAATTTGCATTTTCAACTCAGTTGTTAACACTAAATTACCTGCATTGCTATACTCTCTCGCTGATGCAGCATCACAGTTCCTTTAGAAACTTCCCCTCTTTAACCCTTGGCATGTTACTCTAAACCATGGAAGTATTGATCATGGAAGTGAAATAAAGTGTACTGTCCAGTCAAGTCAGTTGATTGGGTATTTTTTGTCACAAACCATGGATTTAATGCTTTTGTCTTAAGTATATTCTTTAATTCTAAGATCTTATTTAATAATTCTCCTTACTGCCTGCCTTGCAACTGTTATAATGTAAGTTCAGAGAATGTAGTATTGGATCACCTATAAATTCTCTGATAGATATTTTTATTTATTCCTATCACTTGTCTACTTGGTAATTGGCATGTGATTTTATGCATTTTGAACAACTTTTTGGTAATTATTTATAGATACCACAAAAGTATGAAGTGTTTGAAGAGCTGTGCAATAAGTTGACACAGAAGTTCCCCAGTGTTGTGTTTGATACACCCCCAAAGAAACCATTTTTGATAAATGATGCAGTGATCAGCGACCGTCGCCAGTACATGCAGGATGTACTACAACAAATAGCCCGTACTCCTAAACTTGCCTGCAGTTCACTGGTTCTTGAGTTTCTCGGTGCAAAAAGAGGCCATAAAGAGGTGAACAGATTTGAGGACACTCATGGCATATCAGATAAGGTAACTTATATGTATGTTTACACAACCCTTTAACTCCCACATCAAATTTGTAATTCTCCTTAATGTCAGCCATACAATTCTTATAATGTTAGTTCAGAGAATTTAGTAGTGGATTAATTAATTATCCCCAAATTGATGTTTTTCTTTATTCTCATCACTTATCTTGTTGATATTGTATTGATGTTGTAAGGAGAAATTCTGTCTTGGTCACTCATGGGAGTTGAAGTGTTAATTGACTTGACCTCTTCAGTGAGGCTTTTCAGAGCCAATGTGAATAAGGGAAAGAATGAATAAACATAGTGTTTATAAAAATCCTAACTGACAAGAGGCAGATCAGCTTGCTATTTAACAAATTAACAGTGCTTTAGCATGGTCTATGTGTACTCTTACCAACAATGATATTTGTCATCACAGTGGTCAAAATGTTTTAGACTCACAAGGTGCAGCCATTGCTCATTAGGTTTTATAAAATCAAACATGAACTCCCAAGATGTGATTGTTATTATCCTCTCTAGCTGTTATACTTTTCCTAGTAAATTATTGACGAGAATTTGGTGGTAGGTCAAGATGACAACTTTGATATGATAAGTCTGAGTATTCTCAATACCTGATTTTTGGATAATGTATATATATATATATATATGCAATAAGGAGAAGTTGCATGTTAATCACTGATTTTTGGATAATGTGTATATATATATATATATATATATATATAGGTAATTTAGTGTTAACAACTGGGTTGAAAACGTAAATTAGCCACTGTAAAGGGTAAAAAAGCTTTACGGTGGCTAATTTATGTTTTCAACCCAGTTGTTAACACTAAATTACCTGCTTTACTCTCCCACTGACGCAGCACCACAGTTTCTTTAGAAACTTATCCCTTTATATATACACATACATATGCAATAAGGAGAAGTTGCATGTTAATCACTTCTGGGAGTCAAAGGGTTAACTGTAATTTTTATTGCATTTAACACAGGATGAAGACACTGCTACGGGAAAGAAAAATACGCAAGAAGAGATAACTGATGATGTTGACCTATTTGCCAGTGCTGAGGGAAAAGATGACCAAACTGAAGATAGGGAAGAAGAGGACTTATTTGCTGCTGCCAAATCATCTGGTCCTCTTTCTAATTTTGGAGCGAAAGGCTTCTCAATATTTAGCACTGATGATAAAGATGATGCTAATGATGAAGATATTAACAGTCTGTTTGTACCAGCTGGTGCTGAAGAGGGAAACACAGTCAATGTTGATGCAGAAGATAATTCTGAGCTTCTAAAGTGAGATTCAAACATTGGTTGTCCTGTTCTTTGTATTGTTGTCAGTGTTGTTTTTTTTTTTTTTCGCCTCAAATCTTTATCAAAACTAGCCTTGTGAAATGGCTGGTTGTAGAAAATCTAGAGGATAGTGTTCTGTGTAGAGTTTTTACATAACCAGAAAGTAACTAAGTATTTCAATCCATTTCTTTATTCTGAAAAAATATATATATCCATAGAAAAACCCATGACTGCATGGAACATTCATAACCAGTTCATTTTGCAAAACCAAAAACCATGTGGTCACACTCAGCTTTTGGTTAATTTGAGGTAATCTTTTGTAGGGTGAGGCATTTTACATTTGTCAAATATTGTCACTCTGATTCAGTATATCAGATCAGCTTGTTTGACATCATTTTTATTGGCTGTTAGTAGCTAGTAGTGGAGCTTGCCTGTTATTGGTCAGTCTTGATTTTTTGGTAAAATTTGGTTGTTCAGTGTAGTTCCTTTATTTTGCGAGTGTGGCAAACATGTTTGTATGGTACTGACTATAAGTTGCATCTTTAGAAAAGGGCCTGTTCTGAGTTGGTAAACCAGAGTTTGAAAGTCATCATTTCATAGTAGTTTATGCTCTTGATGCACTACCTTAGTGATATTTATATTGATGTCACTGGCAGCTAAATGCAGAATTTTTCCATTGTTGAAAACTGTGTTTGCTAAAAATGGCCCAGGGTATGCTACTCCTCTCTATGTTTCTGGAAGTATCGTCACCTACACTTTTCTTTAACTTCAGTTTTTGGATCTGGGAAGTTGTGTTGTTCATTTTTCAATTCTTTATAAACAGGATTGAAGACGACTTAGACAAACTTTTGACTGTCAAAGCAAAACCTCAGAAGCCACCCAAACCATCACTACCTGTTGCAAAGCCTCGTCTTAAGCCTAAACCTAATCTTAAGCCTAAACCAACTCCGAAGCCCAGGTTTGTCGAGGCAGCTGCCGGGGAAAACGAATTATTTGGATCAGAAGATGCAGAAGCTGCCGAACAGAAGACCAAAGAAACATCCGCTGCAAAGGGAAAACCTGGAAGTGAAGACTTGTTTGATCAAGCAAGGAAACATTCTTTTAGGTATGACTGTTCTGTTATTGTGAGCGCTTTTCGATTGAGTGATGTGAAACTATATCTAAAGTAATCCCAATAGTTATTCAGAATGAAAGCGATCAGTCATGAAATAATAAAAGAAATTTGTTCTGCTGTCATGTGATTGTGGAGCATGGGAAAAATCTGAGTCACCCACGAGGAATCTAAACCGCACTTTCGGATTCCGCGCTCCATTTCTCTCACGCTGAGCCACCGAGAACTCTATTGTGAACTGGGCAATTACTAGCTTAACATAAGCTCCCTTGTGTCGCTCACCAGAGTTCTCTGTAGCGCACGGTAGGGTTCCCTCGAGGGAGGAGAGAGGAAGAGTGAAGACCCTGGGAACGAAGTTGTGTAGTACAGTTGTGCAGTAGTTGACAATTGGTGCGTGAAATACAAAGGTCAGGGTTTCGATTCTTCATGGAGACCCAGAACTTTTTTTGGGTTTTTGTCCCACACTTAGCTTGTTCCAAGCGTTCAGTGAGTAAAAGGTAGCAGAGGTTTGAAAAAACCAGAGGTTTTCGAGGTCGGGTGGAGTCGCGACCCGACCCCAATCGTGGTCTCGTACCCAGAACTTCCACGGCCAAGCAATTTGTAAGTATTTCAGGTACCGTTAAAGGATATGGGTACGAGATTACCCTAACCGCTATTTGTGCGCCAAGCACTATTTCGCTCCTTTACACCGACAGAACGCTTCACGCAGGCAATCCGACGCTCGATACAAGATGCATAACGTCTTCATTTAGTAATTTTATTCTTGTCTAAAACCCCTTTAGATCATCATCCCATGGAGAGGAAACACTGGACGACATTTTCAAAACGAAGTCACGAGCAGTTTTTGAGACAGAAGACGATGAAGACTTATTTAAAACAGCATCGACAGCCGAGAAGCGAAACGTGGAGGAGATGAGTGTGGATGACATAGCCAATTACATTCAACAGAACGAGGCTGACTCGAATGCAAAATTAGATTTATTTTAAAGATAGGCTCCAGGATTTTATGAATAGTTTTATATCTATCAACACAATTAATAATTGGTACAATATTAATTCCCAGGAGATCCCCAGTAGAAAATGAAGGGATATGGTGACTCTCTTGTGGTTATAAAGCTTTGTCTCACCCTCATCCTCAGGATCTTTCTTTCCCAAAGTTGAGATGGCGCTGCAGGATGCGGGTTTCTCTGCCGCGAGGAATAATTGGAACGAGTAGGAGAGAGTTTTGCTGGGGGTCTGGTGCCAATAAATCATTACTAGTGCTTGACCTAGACCCTTGAAAGCTAGTCCGCCATACAGGAATAGCCGAAATTTTCCGAAAATCGCCCGGCTAGGAAACTCGTTACTAGTACTCCTCGGTTGCTCCTATAGCTGGCAAAACCTTAGCAGACCTCTCGCCGACTTGCGTTACCCAATACCTTGTACTTCCTCGCGGGCTAAGAAACACCGCTGCTGAAGCGCCAATAATGAGGAACTTTCTCGGAAGACAAAGAGGATAGAAGCTCAAATATTCCATTTACAAGAGACATCGTATAAATAATCGGTGGATGAATTCATGGAAATTTTTTCCGTTGTCATCGCAACGAGTACGTTTCAAGACAAAATCTCCCAGAAGAAGTGAGTGCTTTGAAAATTAGGATCTAGAAACTTTGATGCTAAAAATTACTCGGAAAGGCGTTTCAGATATTATGAGATAGAGGAAAGGTTCATGAAATAGTCCGAGGTAACCACATTTCTATTTCTCTTGTATCTTGGAGATTTCTTCTGTCACCCACAAACAATAGATGAAAACACTAGAGAACTACTACAAATAAGCCATTTTTGGTTCAACACAAATGAAATAAAAGTATGAAATTAATTCGTGACTTGCCTTCTAGTTTGCTTATGTTAGTAATCCTTACTATCTGCCTGCGCGCCCGCCTAAGCTTTTTTTTTTTTTTTCCGTTGGTTTAATTCTTCTGTTTATCAGTGTACCTCACCCTCTGTCTGTCTCATCTCTGTGCCAACTCCTGAACTGTTTCCTATTTAGCTGGTACGATCAGTCACTATCTATCATCTGGAGAAGGGGGAATTGGGGTGGGGGAGTCGATGGAGTTTTCCGTTGTCTTGATAGAATTTACCTGATCCCTCCATATAACAAACAAAAAAATAATTATTGCCCCTCCCCCCCCCTCTCATTAGCAGTTAATTGGCAGTCACTCTTCTATGGTTCTTTCTTAATACTATGTTGGCGACAACTTCCCCCCCCCCTCCCCTCGTTCCCCCTGAGAACTACAGGGTCTACCCCAAAATCCTCCAATTCTGAGCAGTCACTTGATTTCGCATGCTACACCTACTCAGTCAGCCGAGCACGGAGCATGCTATGATAATCTAGTCAGCGGATTCATTCATTCGTAAAGGACGCCATCAAACTAAGCCATCATGCCAGACAGATCAGGAGAGAAATCAAGAGAGAGATCAAGAGAGAGATCAAGAGAGAGATCGAGAGAGAGATCTAGAGAACCTTCTGATCGGAAAAGGATCTCTTCAGCAGTTGTTGTATCCAAATCTTTCCAAAAAGCCCACGATAAAAGGTAAGTGAAATGCGTTCAGATCAAGCCAACCGAAGAACAGATAAGCAGATGGCTGGCACAAGAGCGCGTATTTCGATCCTTTTCTGCAAGAATACTACCTGCCGTGTTATATTTATCCCTCCAAATATTTCCATTTACAGTTCAGCTTTCCTTAGTAGGAGATTTAATTCCTGGATATGTTTGTGAAAAGTCGAAAAACTGATTTGTATGAATTGATTATGCTCAAACTATACTAAACAATATTAACTTTTGTCAGCAAAGATCCTGCGGTCGTTTCGAACATGTTATTGGGTGTATTGTTTTGTTTTGTTTTGTTTTTTCGTTATTTAGAGATTCTATTAAAGAGAGAAGAGGCTACAGACAGAGATCTCCTGATAATGACCGTGAATCAAACCGAGGAGAACAGAGACTCCATATGGACCGGGATGAGAATAGAAGAGAGCATCGAAAACAAAACATAAGTGAGCGACTTGGGCAACGACCAAGAAAGAGTGATTCTCAAGAAGAACGGGAAGACAACGAGGATCCCAGCACCAGTAGATGGAAACAGAAGAATGAGCGTTATTGTGAGTACACTTGCCGAATAGGTTCTTGGATCCACACTATTATCTAGTAAACATGCCAACCCAGATCACAAAGAACCTTCCATCACAGGCGCCTGCATTTGACCCACTCCCCCTAGGTTAATAGTTGTTTCACCGTGGAGACATCTCCTTATGTCTCTCCCAGGAGAGACAAAAAAGAAATCAGAAAGGTTATTAGGAGAAAGGAAGAAGAAGAAAATGCTGATGAATTGAACACCAAATTCTCAGAACTTAAATTTTGAAATATGTGTTGCAGACAGTGTGGAGGGTTGCCATTTATATCTAAGGAGTAATGGCGTGAAGGATGCTTAATCTGGAGATCCCTCTTGCAAATCTGTCCTCCTGTCTTAGCTGGATTTTTTTTCCTCAGCTGGTAGTCCTTCGTTAAACTTTTCCTTGATCATGCTGTTAAATGCTCACCAGTAAACCCCAAAGAGGAATTTTAAACAATTTGTTCCATAAAATGATATGTTTAACTGTTTTTTAATGTATTTAGTGAAGAGGAGCCTAAACTACATTATCACCAAGTAAAGTTATATATTTATCTATTTTGTTACAAGACAACTATGGTCAAGGTCGCCCTCAATTTAACATATCGTATCCAATTTTTACAGCTCAACAAGGTAGAGGAGCAGTTTCAAATCCAAACAGACGCACAGTGTTTGATCGGCTAGACTCAGGCCCACCTCGAGATAGAATGTCCAACAGAACTCAACAAGGTGCAGGGTTGTGGGACCAGAGAATGGTTGAAGTTGATGTCAATCCACAAGATGTGCCACGAGGAAAACGTTATTTCATGGTGTGTATATGTTACTAGTCTCTTGAGCTGCACATGTTTGGCAGAGCTGAGCCACAAAAGGGTCTTTGAAGGTTCCAGACTTCACTTCCCCCCCCCCCCCTCCCATTCAGATTAGGTTTTTTATCACCTTGTCTCACACCTAAATTTTGCAACAACAGGATCTCTAGTTCCTACTTATTTTGAAGTATTTAGATCATGTTTGCCTGAAATTATTTCCCAGCTTGTGTATGTTTCAGTTTGAGACAAAAGTTTTGTGTCTTCTAAATCCACCCACCCTCCTTCTGCAATCTAACATTCTTGGCTCCACCCCAGGCTAGTCCTAATTGATGAAGTAGTCTCATGAAATATTTAGAGAGTCCCGGATCTAAAATATGTCCCTCTTCCTGCAATTAGCATGAGCTTTAGCCAGCATGAAAAGTATATCTGAATGATCTTTCTCAGTAGACCTCTTCAGCTTTGATGTTTTGTTTAACCATTCCTATTGAGGTTTCAAACAAAAGTACAGGAAGCTAGAGAATACTTAAATCTTTCAAAGAAAAATTAGGGGTGCAGCTGAGGAAACAAAAGTCTAGAGATTGGTAGGAATTGTCTCAACAAGCTCAACATTGTTCCTTTAACCATAAAATCATTGTCTAAACTATTGTCTAAAATTTTTTCTTGACTTTTGTTTATTTTGTCAATTATTAGCACGATGATCGTGAATTACCTAGAAGGCAGAAATCTGACAGATCAAGAGCTCGTTCAAGAAGTCCATTGTGGGTTCATGATAAGTTTGATGATCTTAATACAGAGGAGAGTAAGGTAAGAAGTCTTTCATACCTTGCCTTTCATTTGTTATCATGTGTGATTTGATGTATTTTGGGAGGGTTAATTTCATCTTCTTCACTGAAGTTATTAGAATACTGAAGGGAAACACTAGGCTTGTAATGCTATCAAATAACTGAGGTGCTTTGGCTCTTAACCTTTTTAAACCCTTAAATCTGTTATAAGTTTTCCATACTTTTCTCCATTTGTTTTCCATGGTGCTTACAAGGAGACTTTGCTTTACAATCAAGAGTCTCTTGACCTTGGAATCATTTTCTTTATTATCATGACCTTAAGGTTAACCCTAAGTGTTGTCTTTCTGTGCTAGTTACTTTATGCGAGTGAAAGTGAGATGCAGTGCCCATGCAAGATGACCCTTCTGGTACAGCTGTTGGTCAGCTTATAAGCTCTTTCCTGAATCATGTGTAAAGGAAGGGATGTGATCGATGCATATTGGGTGGGAGATGGGGTGGGTAACCTGCTTACCTGGTGGGAGGTGGTGCTGACTTGAATCCATAGAAGTCTCCTTCCCCCACCCTCAGATACCCTTTTCTCTGAGCCACTCAGGCTGTGGGACAGCCTTTCTGAAATGATTTGTGGATTGAACTTCAGAGCTAGCATTCTGTGTTACTTCCTGGTTGTTGCACTGTAATTCAGTAACCCAGGCCCATCTATCAAATTTTCCATTTTCAGAATGATGATGAAGCAGCTCATGATGATGATGGCAATGATGATGCTGCAATAGAAATGCAAGACATTGAAGTCTCACAAGAAGAGCGAAGGGAGAGATCCAGGGATGGACCCAGGCATAGAGAAAATCAGCGCCACAACTAGTTAGCCTTATCTGTAAGGAGCCTGTCTCCTAGACATATTAGTTCAGCAAAAGGTTCTATAGAATTGTGGGGTCATTTGAATCACTCACATTAATGAAGCACTCCATGGTCCAGAAGAGGCTAAACTGCATTCTCAGATAAATCTCTCTTTTTCAATTTTTTTAAGGGAGCAGTAAACACATATCTTGCTTCTTGACTCCTTGGTCAGACTCCCAGTAAATCTTGAGTTGTTCACACTAATGGCTCTTTCATCTAGAGAAACGCTACATTGATATCTTTCAATGATTTAACCACTTTCTTCCATTTTAATTATGTTTTGTAACCATCCATTGTATATTTTTGGATGTGAGGTACGTTTGTAGGACGCTCCTTTAAATAGTATAGTTTATTTAATTCATTAAAAAAAAACGAAACTTCATTCCACATGTTGCAGAGTATTTTGTGTTTTAGCAGCAAACGTTTTCTTTAACTTAGTTATAAATACACGCTTGAACCACCAGAGTAGAGGACACATGTCATTCACGGCAAATGCGCACTTAAAGATATCTGCATCACTGTTTTATGCAACCAGCTGAGAAAAAGACCTCAAAAAAGGTCCAGGCAAACGTTATTCAGGGGTTTTTGTTCTCACACTAATCAGTTGTCGAGCATTAGACGGATACCCCGACGGGAAACGAATTTGGGTCAATTCAGATTGAAGAGAACATCTTTTATTATATGAAAAGGTAGTCCTGAGGTAAATCCGAGTGTTCTGATTGGTTCTTACTGGACCGGATGGTAGCGGAGAAGTGAACACGAGAGACGATTGGATCGGGACGCGTGACTCAAACTTCCTTCCTTTTTTCGACCCGACCCGAGCCTCTCTCTGAATATGGAAACGAGATCTTATCAGACAGCATCTAAGTCGACACCGTTACACTGTTTGAACGTCGAATGCATGACAGGAGGTTGGCTGTACATGGTTTGATCAGTTTCAAGACTTTTCTTTATCTGGTTCTCGTGCCCTTTCAGGAATCCACCGCCTGAGTACAACTTCCTGCAAATAATGAACAAAGAGGTGCACAGGTACTTTGTTTTCACACTTTAAAAACGTTGATTGAGGTAAATGGATTAAAAATGAAAGCACACACAAGTAAGAGAATATTTCAAATCTTTCACAAGTTTTCAATAACTTGTTTTCATAAGCGGCTACCGATGATGCAATAGGAAAAATACTGCTAAGACATCATGTTATTACTTTTTACAACAAGGTTAGCAATTACCTGTATTTTAAATCTTGAAATACATTTTGGGGAGGAAAGTTCTTCATTTTTCATGTCTAAAGACAAATACATTCTTGAATGAATGAGCAAGTAAAGAAAAGTAAAATGAACAAACAAACAAATGACAAAAAAGCAGCCATAAACCACAATGAATTAACAAAAATGCTAATTTCGAACCTGATGGTTTGATGACGTAACAAATCATCAATTCCTAAAAAGGAAGGGCACATACGTAAACTTTGTGCTGGGTATGATAATTGTAACAATTGACTACTGCTATAACTTGTTAGAATAAACAAGAGAGAATAAATTTTCATCGCCCTTGTATTACGGAGCTTAACGATTAACTTTCGTCCAATCAAAAAGAAAAAAAATTAAAGTTTTATCGCCCTTGAATTAGGGAGCTTAACGATTTACTTTCGTCCCACCAAGAGCAAACATCATCACTCTCACGTAGGCTACGTCAAAAGAAAACCAGGATTGCATTTAAGGAGGGGAAGGGGTGGAGTCTCAACCAATCAGGTACTGAACTAAAATAAAGCGCGACATGGTCACTTGCGTTATCTCGGGCTTAAGGTAGTTTGCTTGTTTTCAATGAGTTCTCATTGGCCCCTTACGACATTTCCTTTGTTTCGATTTGCCTTTGTGATTACGTTGGCTTTTGTTCAATGCAACTCAGTCGTAAAAGGTTGTCATCTGATTGGTTGAGAGGTTGGCGCGTGTTTTCCAGACCAATCGTGGTGCATAGTTTAGTCAGGGGGAACCAATTTGAGCAGTCAGATTAATTTTGACACGTTGAAAGACGCGCTGACACTCATACGCTATTCCTGATGCCACCTTCAATCGCGCTCTGTTAACGTGCAACAGCGGCCGTCGGTCAAAAATCGCGGGTTACAGTGCACTGTTACCAGCTGACGTCATAAATTAGCCAATGCTACCCGCTAGGAGACTGTTGACCCGAGAAAGCTTTACTGTTCAATATCATGTGACCCCAAAGTATTCAATGAGAACATGCGCTAAATAAAGCTACTAAAACAATGACATTTGTATGCATTAGAATAAAAAATGGACAATACCTTAGCTGCATGTTCATTGACACGCCCTACTCCACACAGCTGACGCCAACTGAGCTCTCTAACTGAGGTGGTTTTAGCACTTTTTTCTGTATCCTCACGTTGGTGATCAACCATTTGTACAATCACAGAATAGCTGAAAAATGATAAAAAAGAAAAAAATATCAAATTACCAGCCTTATATTGAATCTTTCAAGGAAAATGTTATCTTAACAAGTGTGGCGCAAGATACTGGTAAGAAACATTTATACACAGCTCGAAACTTAATTTCTTTGTTTCACCTGCAGCTTTTCAATTTGTGCTTAAAAAAATCGAACACAATGCACAGAAAAATATCAATACTCGTGAGAGATGAAAAACGATAATTACGTATTAATACAGTACACTGCGTAAACATGTAATTGCGTAGTCTGATCGTCCGGACAGGGGCAGTCCTGGAAGGTCAATAGAAGTAACAGACGTTAGGACAACCAGAGCAGTTCGGGCCCTTAAAGAGTCTGTTGTTTTTCTTTAAGAGTGCTTCCCTCTACCTTAAAGGGATTGTCATGGAAATTTGGAAACCGGTGGGGTATTACCTCAGATGAAACAGCATAGAGAAAACCAACGGGAAGTCACCCTCTTGACCAATCAAATGCACGACTAAAACTAATTCCGACTTAGTTTTGACTAAGTTACTTGAATGTATTTTCTTGCACTTCAAGCTGGTTGCATGAGCTCTAATTGGCTCCATGGGATATACAATCATATACACATGATTTTTAACTGACAACCAGCCTTAAACCTTATCCAAACAAATTCCACAGTAAAACATCACTTGCAACATACCTTGAATGATAAAACGGCATACCCTCCTTATAAAGAACTGCATATCAAACATAAGTGACATAAAGCCAAATGAATAAACTGACAAGGAATTTAATCCTAATAGTGAACTTAACCCTTCAACTTCCAGATCAAATTTGTAATTCTTCTTACTGTCAGTCATACAATTGTTATAATGTTAGTTCAGAGAATTAAGTATTGGATCAATTAATTATCCCCAAATTGATATTTGTCTTTATTCTTATCACTTATCTGGTTGATATTGTATTGATATTGTAGGGAGAAATTCTGTCTTAGTCACTTATGGGAGTTAAAGGGTTAAACTAGTCTCCTTTTACCCAGGAGGTTTGAAAAGTGGAATTTAACCATGCTGATTTTAATTTATAAAGGGGTAAGTTTCTAAAGAAACTGTGGTGCTGCGTCAGTGGGAGAGTATAGCAGGTAATTTAGTGTTAACAACTGGGTTGAAAACGTAAATTAGCCACCGTAAAGGGTAAAAAAGCTGACGTTTCGAGCGTTAGCCCTTCGTCAATCACTCTGACGAAGGGCTAACGCTCAGCTTTTTTACCCTTTACGGTGGCTAATTTACGTTTTCAACCCAGTTGTTAACACTAAATTACCTGATTTTAATTTACATCAGACCTTTCATTTTATTCACAGAAATTGAGTTGACTGAACTTCAACCATTTTAAATCAAGAACCCTTAAGCTGTAGCAGTCCAAATTTTCTAATTTCATCCACAGACATGCAAACAATAGTATATGAAACCTTACCCAGGTCTGTTCCATATTTGATTCCCATTTTTGGAACCCATCCCTTGGATCTGAAGTAATGATATGATACATAATTTGGGATGAATTCTTGTTTAGCTTCACAAAAAGCACACCACATTTGACCCAAGGACAGTGGTTTCTAGATTGAAAAATGAGCAAATTATAGATTGTGAAGAGTGAGTACAAGACTTACAATCATGGGGAAAAGAGAAAGTCAGTTTAATTAAAAATTAGGAGATAAAGATTTTAAATTCTTGTGCATTCTTACCTTATCCTTGTCCAACACAGACAGACAACCAAGTCCATATGAAAGGAAAAACGCCTGCAAGAAGAAAAGAAATCTAAAATTTCAAGTATCTGATGGATGACATGTACTCTACAACTTAATGAGAAGAATTTTATGAAAACAATGAATGAACTCATATTAACCATTTTCCAGTTGAATCTGTAAAATGATTTGTAATAAGCTCTACAAACCTCTTCTAAACTCAACTGTAAATGCTCATAGACTTTGTAAGGATCATCTTGTCTTGTGGAGCATGCTTTGTGGTTTGTTCCTTTTGCTTTTGCGATGGCTCTATCAGATTTATTTCGATTACTTTCAAGACTTGGACATACCAAAAAAGAAAAAATATATATGAAATACACTTATTCAAGTTAGATTAATGTTTTTGGTTTTCGTTATTAATTACTAGGAAAATACATTGATCATTAGTTTGTCTCTGATTAGTTAAAAATGTGATCTTGCACTTATATATCTATGTGAGATATGACTGGTACATATTAAATGTTTGAAAATACTGTTGTGCGCTGACTGTGTTGTGAACTGGTCCAGATTTTCATTGACAAATTATGCTTTGGATCCAGTGCATGTTTTCACTTTGCTTTGCAAAACTTCTCTGATCCGAGTTTCTTTCTCAGTGGTATATCATGTCATACTCTGCGTAGGACCATAAGTGTATGTTGTAACGAGGACTGTTTAGACCCAGCAAAAGAGTCTTACTGATGTCTTACCGACTTGCACTCGAAGATCCACTCTTATTTCTCAAAACATCTTGCATTACTTCATCCAGGTCCCTGTTAGTTATGCTTGCCTCGCCATCTCCGTTGGAATTACTAAGCACATTTCTATCATCATCATCATCGTAATCTAAATCATCATCATCCTCCTCTTCTTTGTTGTCGTCATCATCATCATCATCACCATCATCATCATTATCATTATCATTGGATTGTGTTTCAGTCTCTATTGTACCATTACAAAATTCTAATTGATTGACAGATGTGACATCTTTCAGTTTAGCAGTCTCCACCTAACACAAAACAAAAAACTTGAGATTTCTGCAGATTGGTACTCAGGCTTCTAGTCGGTTTTTTTAAAACACAGCTTGTCACTGTGCATTAGGGTTGTTAATGTTGTTGGGATTTTTATTAATTCAAACAAATAGGTTCAGTCAATAAGCTGTCTGAATACACACTGTTCAACTTACATGCATTCTTTTTCTCTTTTTAGGAGAAGGACTAATTATTCGTTTCTTATTGACAATTTTATCTCCCAGTGATTCACATGTCTTCTCATCTTGTTTACATGTTGTGCCAGTAGCTTGCTGCCACCACTGCTTGTGATTTTTAAATCTGAAAAAAAGAGAGAAAAAATTCACACTACTTTACCCAACTGAGCATGCAGTAAATTGAAAAACAACAAAATTCATAGCCTTGTTTAACTTTAAAATTTTACCAAGACAAAAATTTAAAAAATTCAGGTAGCAACATGATAAGTGACTGCTTTGCTCCACTGTAACAGCACTTGCACAAAGTAATTTTTACCTCTCCTTCCTTACAATACGAAACTTTGACTGTCTGATTTCTCTCTCCTTTGGAGGTACTATAAAACATTGGAAATATATTGCAGTGAAATACAGATAGCATTAAGTAACATAACTGTGTAAGAAATAAAATAACTTTTTAAGCTGGTACTTAAAAATCTGGTTATGAAATTAACTCTTAATATGTCTTAATCTAAATATTAAAATTTAAGGCAACGTATCATTGAGAAGCAGTTCAATACAGGCATGACAATTGTTTCTAAGTTCTGTTCACTAAGGAACTGTAAAAAATCTTTCAGGTGAGGAAAGGTAGCCAGGCATCTTTTGCCTGGCTATTCTATTCAGTGGAACCACCCATTCTTATTTGGATAACCTGATCCTATCTACTTGTCACTAAGATCCCTCACCCTCTCCTCCCCCTCCACCACAATCCCGGTTACATGAAGTAACATCAGTAGCTCTTCTACCAGTTGACAATCTAATAGTATTCAATACTTACATCTTCTTAGCTTTTCTGATTTTGAAAATGCTTTCTGAGAAATATTTGAAATAGTTTCATATTCAGGTTTGCTTCTTGACAGAAATCCTTTCCCAAAAAAACCCTACAAAGAAAACAGAAATGAATTTTTGAAGATACTACATATAAACATGAATTTTTTTTTCCATTAGTCTGCTGAGGTTTAGAAATTGAAAATGCATTTGGAGAGGAGGAAAGTTGGTAAAATGAAGATGTAGCCATAATCAAAAAGTTGAAATTACATCAGAATCCTACTTGCTCAGAGTGCCAACCTCCTTGTAGAAAATCTCTTTCATTTTTAAATTTCAGATTAAGATTTTTCTCTTCCCCTCCCCCCTTTTTATTTTTTTTGCATTCACACACAGCACACATGATATCACAAATTAACCAGACACATCAAAGAATGCTAATCTTGACATTAGAAAGCTGACATAAAAATTTTTCACACACTTTTGTTGATTTGTTTTAACAGAGTTAAGTTCAACTTAGTTGTTTTTGAGCTTTCATTCGTGCAAATTTGTCACCCTTTAGTTTGAAATTTTCATTCAACAAGTTTAATACATATCTTTTACGGAATTTGGATTCTAGCCTCTCTTTATGTAAATAATTTTTTTACACTCCATGTCATGTTGTCATCATCGAGGTTTTTTTCTGTGGTTGACTTCCTTATACCTTCGGTGAAATGGGAAAACACTTCTTAAAATAAAGGAAAATAAAGCTGAATACAGACGTGTGGGTCTTATGCCCAGTGCTGCTATTCACATGCCGATTGTGCAAAAAATGAGCTCTAGCTCAAGAAATTCGTCAACCAAGAAACAACTGCACTTATTTTAATCAAAAATTAAACATTTTCTGCAAGCTTCGTTGAATGAGATTCCAGCCAAATTTGGCCGGAATTTGAGACTACCGAGTACCAAGTATTTTGCAAACAATTCCCGGCTACTGGATGTACCGCTACACAGAGTCGGTAAAGGGCACTACTTTAAAAAAAGTGAATTTAATCCATAATTATGATCCAACGAAAAAGCAGAAGATTTAAATCGATGTACCAAAAGTATAAAATTTCAGGGGAAGGATGGGGAGAGTCGCCACACCTGACGATGACATCCACGACAGGCATGGAAATTCTCTGTAACTCACCATCTTGTAAAGAAAAGTAAGGTCCCCTGAATCTTCAATTACAACGCAATTATCTCTAAAATGACCAGTGTAATAATACCATCTATCAGTAGAAGATTGTTTCCCTGAAATACTTTGAATGGGAATGGGAAATGGAGCTTCTTTAGGATGGAATCTAGCGCCTTTCTTACACCTAGGAATCCGTCCTACGTCCGCCATATTGATTCTGGTTTATATTGGGTTCTTCATATACGACATATGCTTCTTCGTTCCTGGACCCGCTGCAATGTACTGCTTGCGCATAAATATTAGGGCGGCTGCTAAGTCAGTTTGAAAAATGGCGGTTAGACCGACGGTTATCCAATGGGAATGAGTACAGATACTCACTTAAAAATTGTTGTAGAATCTGTGCGGCTGCTATCATGACTACAGGAGACCTAAAAAATAACCTTCGAAAGCTAATATCTGAACTGAAGCAAATTAATTATCCTCAAACTGAGCTCAACCTCAAAGGAATCGCCCAGGGGATTCCAAAAGCATTTCTTCCAATCGTTCATCATGTGTTCCTAGACTATTCTATTTCACTGGCACAGTACTTTGCATCCAAAGAATACGAATTTTACGGAAAAACGGATTCACGGTTTATGGAAACCGTATACAAAGTTCTTCGTGACGAGTTTGGCTACAAACCACAGCTTACAAGGGAGCAGTTTCTAACGATTGGATTTGCTGAGCGAAAGATTATTTTTCTGTGCGCCATCTTAAAACTCCTGAGAGAGAGACATAATGAGCTCAAACCTAAAGGCGGAAAATTGATCAAGAAGAAAGCGAATCAAACTTCACAGATGAATGGCACCAACGTCAACGGAATAAGCAAGGAAACACATTTAAAGAAAGATGTTTCGACTTGCTCTGATCAGTTTGCAGGACCTCTTCCTCCTGACACGGACATGAAGAGGTTTCGGAGTAACGGAGAGGCTATGAAAGCTGGTTTGGGATTGAAAGAACCCCTCATAACTCGTGAGTTTATTGAGAGTGAGCACGAGAACCATTATATGTCGAAAGCTGAAGGAGTAGATGTAAACATTGGTAAATCAGGAGAAGTCCTGGCTGCTAAAACTAATCCATTTCCGTCAAATTTGATTGTCAAATCCAGTGACCAATCGCTCTTTGGAAAGAAATTTCCAGTTTCTCAAAATGTTGAGACTCGTTCATATTTGTTTGATCGGCCTCAAGTTAAATCGGTGACATGGGAAGATCAAGGTACAGACTCCCAGAGATTTCCCACTGAACGACCTGAAAAAATTATAGGCAAACCTCAACCAAACCCAATATCAGTACCAGTGAGCATCCATGAAATTCCTTATTCAGTGTCATCGCCAGAATATTATCCATCATCCTTTGAAGACACAGCCAACAGAGGAATGAATCCACATTTGGCTCCAGCCCCAGTTACCAGGACAGCAGTGCCAGAGCCAAGCCCAGATCTGATGCTCACGCCAACTGTCAAGAGCACTTGTTATGATGCCATCCCCATTTCCAGCTCTGATTCACAAGTTTATTTGCATTCAGATGACAAAATTTCACATACAAGAGTAGTGAGGCACCCCAAAGCCAGTGAAGGCAATACTTGCAATGGCTTTGTATTCAATCCAGGTTCTTTTGAAGAAAACCAACTTCTCAAACAACAGTTACAAGAGCTACAGGAGAAATTTGATGGTGTGGTATTGCTGAACAATGACATGTCTGCAAGAGTTGTACTCTTGGAGAGTAAAGTGAGGTTACTGGAGGAAGCATGCCAAAGAAAGTCTGACTGTTATTGCAAAAATCCCTTGGCTGCAATATCTGCCAAGGAAAAAACAATGAAACAAGATGATGCACATGTGGTTGTGTCTGGTTTTAATATTCATGATGAAACAAGATCAACTGAACAATCTCACATGACTAGCCTGAGCATACCACCTAAAGTAGTTGGGGGGATAAACAGTGCAGTGCACAAATCAACTAGCCGAAAACTGTTCAAAGAAACAACAACTTCTCTTGGCAATAATGATGCAGTTATTGAATCATCTTCTCATTCAGAAGTGTCTGATGATGATCATGGCAAAGATGATGACGATGATGATGATGATGGGAATAGTACTGGCAAAGTTAACAGCATTCCATCGGATCAGAAAGATGCAGATATCATCATAAGCCCCTTTCCTTCATCTTCAAAACTTTCAGCTGTATTTTCTGACCCTTCAACAAAGAATTCTGTAGTAAATGTCCACAAACGGCTCCAGGAAACCAGGGAGCTTCTCAGAAGGACAAACAGAGACTTTGCAACAAAGTTTTGTCATTACCAAGTTGAATAAAATTTATCTTCTAAATAACTGCTTTAAGTACTGTGTTTGTTTAAGACAGCACCAGTTGGATTTACCTCAAGTGTAAACATGTACAGGTGCATTAATATGGAGCTCTGTCATCCATATTCTGTCTGGACATTGTACTCTAAGCTTTTTTTGACTATGATGAATGTAAAATTTTTTCTAAGGAAATTTTCTGGTGAAATCTGAAAAGCTCTCCTTCTTACTAAGTTAGTGTTATTATGTAGAGTGTTCAATTGTGGGTGAATATAAGTTAAAATTGAAACATGATTAAAAATCAGATGCCTCTTTTTGTCTCATTTTCCTTATGCTAATACCAGCATACATCAGTGAGAGGTTACATCAGTGAAGTGCTAAAAAATAATGACCAAGTTGATTTGATATTCAGAAACCACCTCCAATCAAGTCTCTTATTTGATTTTGAAACCTTCCTTTAGACATTACCATCACTACTGACTAGTTACATTTTGTTAAATCTCTTTGATCATGTTGTAATAGTGCATCCTCATTGTTGCATGACTCACCTTCTGGCTTCTTCCTGTAGGGCTGTCTTTAAACATTTTGTGTAGCATTGAGCCAGTCTCTGATTGTTAATACTGCATGTGTCAATTGTCTATTTTACAGTGAATTTTGGAGGATTTACATGGTACAGGTTGTTTCAGGCAAAACAGATCATGGAGTATCAATAAAGGATTCAGAGAATTCCCGCATAGCAAGTTGCAAGATGGAAAATAAGCTGCGGTAACAACATGCTTAAGGTAAATTAATACCATTGATAAGTACCTGCATCTTCATTTGATAACCATCACTTAATTACTCTATCAGATATTACTTCAATACAAAGCAATTGTTTGGTTTCAACTGAGATAGTATCCTTTTTTTTGCATTGCTTGTTGTCTGACCATTTGCTATGTTGAAAAGAAGCCATTTTAGCTAGATTAGCTATTCTTAGGAGTAGCAACCCTAGAAATGGATAACTTGCCAAAATGGCCTCCTTGCAGCAATGTACAGTACCACTTGCGCAGACATTAACTGCGCAGATGAATTTCATATACTCCGATACAGGGTAGTCAGACGCGTATATACTATTTTTTTGCGCGCACGGTTGAAAAAAATTTGCAATTCATGTGCCTTTGTCATTCAGTGCTATGTTTCTTTGTATTTCATTGTTGTATGAAACAAAGGACTTCTAGGTTTGAAAAAGCGGCTAGTAGACAATGGAAAATTTACATCATCAGTCACAAAGCAAGCAATGCACTGTGAAAGTAAGGTGAGGTCTTTTATTGAGAATTTGATTGTATTCTTTTTAATCCTAAGAGCAGTCATAAATATTCCCATACCAACTATTATAATTATTTTCACCATGAATCATATTATGCAAGATGATCATCTCAAAGCTGGAGCTTGGGCTGCCTGTGAGGAAACTAATAATGCACACATAACTACGGGCATAAAGGATAAAAACCTTTATTTTGTGAAATGAAATTGCACCCTTTCTTGCAATAACACAACATAGCACATAATGCAAATAGAAATTAAATTAGTTTGGCAGGAAATAAATGCATGAAATACAACTTTTGAATGCAGTACCTACATAACAAACCTACAGAACAAGCCATATTGCAGAGGTACATGTAGCAGTTAAATGATGCCCTCTCTTCTGTTGAATTCCTAACCCCAAAGAGAATGACTTGTAACGTCTTCCAACAATTTAATTCCATTAACCGGTAAATAGTTCAGGGGAATACACATACTAATCAGCTTCCTATGCCATCTATGAGAGACAAGATTGAAATTACATATTATATATGTTTTGTGCTGGAATGTAAAGGATGTTTTTATATATTGGTGATTTGTAAAACATCATTACATGAATGTAAAATAACTATAAATAATTTTGATGTTTTTTCTTTATTTTTTTCTATTTTTTCATAACCCTTTAACCCATTAAACCCTGAGAGTGATCAGCATCTAATTTCTCCTAACAGTAACATGGCTGAATCATTTGTTAAGATCATGAGAATAAAGGAAATGATCATCATCCAAAGAAGCTTTGATTGTAAAACAAATTCTCCTCATCAGTACTAAAGGAAACATAAAGAAAAGAGACTGGAGGATATAGATACTGATGTTAGGGTGTCAAGGGTTAATTGGCAAAATAGTCTCACTCATACACCTGAATTTTTCAAAGAGGAGCAGGTACTTTCTTATTACAAACCTTTGGTAATGCCCACACTAAAATGTTACATGTACCCATAACCTGTGATCAGGAATTATTGTTGCGGGTGGGGGGGGGGGGGGG